GAGCTGGATGGGAAGTAGAGTAGCTGGACTCAGAGCAGCTACCATATGTGATTCTGGCACCACAGTCAGTGGCATCATCCACTACACCGTAGCACTGGCCCCCACAGGTGGATGCTTTGCAGTGTTCCAATGGGGCCTGGGTGCTGTCTTGAAGCTGCAGACGTGCCTAGTGAATGCCTCACTGTTCCATACCCAGCATATGCTATCAGGGGAATCTCTTTGCAGAGAGCACTCTAATGATATTTAACTGCTCCACCTGCATCCACTCGGATGTGGTAAAAAGGGATTGTGGCTCACACTGAGCAAGACAAAGTGAAGGGAATGATAGAAAATAAACTAGATATGGGGCATTCCTCAAGCACTTGGAACTGCTCTTGATTACTTCTGGTTATCTCTGCCAAAATTATGTTACCTGTATGACTGAAAGTGCTACCGGTTCAGGCAGGGATGATGGCTGGTCCTGGTGTCTCATAAGAAAAGAATACAAATGAGACAGATTTTGGTGGTAAGCAAGGTAGTCAAGTTTAACAAAGGAGTACAACTGACCAGACCGGGTATGTAACTTGCCAGAAAACAGAGTGCCCCATCTTTGCATAGGTTGAAGTTTTTGTGGATACAGGATGACATTTTTCAGGCCACCCCCCACTCCATACGCCCTGCTCCCAATCCAGAATAATGCTAGGTGGAAGACTTCCCAGGTGTGAGAGTCTGCCCTGGTGGCTGTGGTTACACAGAAAGTTCCCTGGGGCCAAGAACATTGCCCCTGGGACACCCTCTGTGGGGTGAGATGCACCTACCGGGGATGGGTGATATCAGATACAGTGTTTATGAAACAGGAGAGAGAGAAGATTCCTGGAAAAGGCAACAAGATGGTAAGGTTGGACTTTTTTCTTTTAGTGTTTCATATTTTATTTAGAATAACATGACCTTAATATTTCAGGTAGTGAAAAAATGGCTAAACTATGAAGAGTACATTTTTTTAATTTAAAATTTATTGAGAACACACAGAGACACACCACCCACCACCACCACCACCACCCCTCCCAACTGCTGGTCAATGCCCCCAAATGCCCACAACCACCACCCAACCCCTGGAGGGCGAGGCGGGGCCTTCTGCTCTGGCTGCCCTATCCCCGGAGGCGGGGCGGGGCGCCTGTTCCGGCCACACGGGTCCCAGCCCCCACCTCCCCCACCAGGCAGGTGCTCCGCGACCACAACTGCCTGCAGGACGCTGCTGCAGCACCTGACCTCGTACAGCCTGACCATCGTGAGCAACGCGTGCGGCACGCTCTGGAACCTGTCAGCCTGCAGCGCGCGGGACCAGGAGCTCGTGTGAGACCTGGGCACCGTGGGCATGCTACGCAACCTGCTGCACTCCAGGCACAAGATGATCACCATGGGCAGCGCCGCTGCTCTGCGCAACCTGCTGGCCCACCGGCCCGCCAAGCACCAGGCAGCCGCCACAGCCGTGTCCTCCCTCACCTGCGTGTCCAGCCTTTACGTGCACAAGCAGCAGGTGCTGGAGGCAGAGCTCGACGCCGGCACCTGGTGCAGGTGCTTGGCCACCTGGAGAAGCAGGCCCTGCCCTTGGCCGAGGCCACTGCCAAGAAGCCGCTGCCGCCCCTGTGGCACGTGGACGGGCTGGCGCCGGACTACACCTCTGACTCAGGCTACTTCGACGACGATGGCGCGCAGTCCCTGGCCACCGCCACCGCCAAGCCCGCCAGCATGGCCATGCTCTCCCTCTTGTTGGGCAGCCCCTTCCTGCAGGGCCAGGCGCTGGCCCGCACCCCGGCAGCCCACTGCGCCCTGGAGCCCGAGAAGGAGGCCGGCGGCGCGAGGCCAGTGGAGGCCAAGGCCAAGCTGGCGCTGGCTGTGGCACAGATCAACCATCTGGTGGAAGACATCTCGGCCTTGCATACCTCCTCTGACGACAGCCTCAGCCTCAGCTCTGGGGACCCCAGGCAGGAGGCACCGAGGGAGGGCCGGGCGCAGTCCTGCTGGCCCTGCCGCGACCCCGAGGACAGCCGGCCAGCGGCGGGGGGCCGGGCGCACCCCCTGCTCCGGCTCAAGGCGGCCCACGCCAGCCTCTCCAACGACAGCCTCAACGATGGCTAGCTACTGCCCGCTGGCCAAGCTGGCAGAGCACCGCGAGGAGCTCCTGGACGGGCAGCTATGGCCCGCTCGGCTGGACCTCGACCTGCGGGGCGGCCAGGCTGAGGGGTCCACCTGGGACGCCGGCGGCGCCGACGCCTGCGTGCGCACCATCAAGCTGTCACCCACCTATCAGCACGTGCCGCTGCCGGAGGCCGCGGGCAGGGCAGGCGTGGGGGACGCCCCGGCGGCCCCAAGGTGCCCCCCGCAGCCCGGAATCAGGCCTGGCTGCTGGGGGAGGGCCTGAGCCAGGTGCCCGAGAAGCTGGAGGCTGCCCGGCCAGCCGCGGCCAGAGGGCGCTGCAGAGGCTGGTGGCGCAGGAGGGGCCCCTCTCACTGCCCCGCTGCAGCTCGCTGTCCTCTACCCGACGCCCGGGCCCCAGAGAGGCCAGAGACTTGGACAGCGACTCCTCCCTCGAGGGCCTGAGGAGGCCGGCCCCGAAGAGGCGGAGCTGGACGGGGTGTGGGGCGGGCCAGGGCCACCTCCCTGCCTGTGGCCATCCTGGCGCCCCCGGCGAGGCCGCGGCCGGGGCCTGGGCATGGAGGACGCCACGCCATCCATCTCATCCGAGAACTGTGTGCAGGTGATGCCCCTGGTGCTGAGCCGCTGCAGCTCCGTGAGCTCCCTGGGCAGCTTCAAGAGCCCGTCCATCGCCAGCTCTTTCCACAGCGACCCCTGCAGCGGGCGGGGCAGCAGCACCATGAGCCCCAGCGAGCTCTCCGACAGCCCAGGGCAGACCATGCCGCCCAGCCGCAGCAAGATGGCGCAGGCCGCGCTGCCCGGCCAGCCCGAGAGCAGCCAGATCAGCCTGCAGTGGGAGAGCTACGTGAAGCGCTTCCTGGACACCGCCGACTGCCCGGAGCGCTGCTGCCTGCCTTCGGAGCTGGACGCCGGCAGCGTCCGCTTCACTGTGGAGAAACCGGACGAGAACTTCTGCGCCTCCAGCCTCAGCGCACTCGCCCTGCAGGAGCACTCCGTGCAGCAGGACTTGGAGCTGAGTCTGCTGCCACCGCCCGCCTGCCCTGACCACGGCACTGGCGAGAAGAGGCCGCTGCCGGACACCTGGAGGGGCTGGCGCCCATGGGCTCCCGCACACGCACAGCCGCAGACTAGGAGCCGGAGCTGCTGCGAGAGTGCCTGGGGGCAGCCGTGCCCGCGGGGCTCAGCAAGGTGGCCTCAGCGCTGGTGCACGACCGCCGGGCGCTGCCCGTCCCGGTCTACATGCTGGTGCCCACCCCGGCCCGGGAGGACGACTCGTGCGCTAACTCGGCTGAGGGCACGCCAGTGAACTTCTCCAGCGCCGCGTCCCTCAGCGAGGAGACCCTGCAAGGGCCTCCAGGGGCCGGTATGCACAGGCAGGAGCTCGCCGGCCTCGCGACCCCACAGCCATGTCTCAGGACACTGGCTCAAGGCCGGGGGCGCCGGCCGGAGCCCGGAGCAGGCCCGGGGCACAGGCAGAAACCGGGCCAGGCTGGAGCTGCCCCTGGGCCGGCCCCAAACCTGCCCCTGGCCCCTGGGCCACACAAGGAAGGCGGCAGAGCACCCCAGCCTGGCACAGCCAGCCGCCGCAGGCAAGGCGCTGGCGCCCAGGCAGCAGCGCTCTCGGAGCCTGCACCAGACAGGGCAAGATCTCGGAGCTGGCTGGCGCTGAGCCACTCCCCGCCAGGAGCGGCACCCCCACTGCTCATCTGGCCAAGACCCCTGTTCAAGCTCCTCCCAGACCTCGCCCTCCTCTCAGCCTCTGCCCAGGAAGTCCCACCCCACCCCCCCCCCCCCACCCCCCGCCACCCCAGCTGCAGTGGGTCTCTTTCCCTGGCCCATAGCCACCGGAGTGCCCAGAAACCGGCGCGGGCCCTGCTGTCCAGCACCACAAGACCAGAAGTCGCCCCGGTCCGGATCCCGTTCATGCAGGAGGCGGGCCAGGCACGGGCCGCCGCCCGACTGGCCAGGCCCGCCCCAGAGCCGAGCCCCAGAGGCCGCGAGGGAGGCGACGGGGGCGCGTGGGGGCCGACTGGGCCTGGTGCGTTGTGACCTCCGCCCGCTCCAGAGGCAGCGAGTCCTCGGACCGCTCGGGCTTCTGGCGCCAACTGACCTTCATCAAGGAGTCGCCTGGCTTGCTGCATCGCCAACGCACGGAGCTGCTGTCCGACTCCGCCTCCACCTCCCAGGGCGTGTCGCCCCGCCGTGGCCGGCCCGCGCTCCCCGCCGTCTTCCTCTGCTCTTCGCGCTGCAAGGAGCTGAGGGCGGTCCCCCGCCAGCAGCCAACCCGACCAGGGTCCGCTCCCGGCCCCGGCCCGCGCGTGCCCCTGCGCACCAGTTCCCAGAGCCCGTCGCGCCTGCCCGTGCGGCCAGAGGCGGTCAAGCGCTACTCCTCCCTGCCCCACATCAGCGTGGCCAGCAGGCCCATTGGCGGGGCCCCGGGAGCCCCCCAGGCACTCCCCTTCCCCCAGCAAAGCGGGAGTAAAGGCGAGGCGCGGCCACTGCCCAGGGTGGTCGCGCCAGGCACGACGTGGCGGCGCATCTGGGACCAGGACGTCGCGCACATCATCGCAGCACCCTGCCCGCCTCGGCCCTGCTGCTCTGGGGCGCCTTGCTGGAGGAGGGCCCCGCCAGCCCCCCGCCACGGAAGACCAGCGACTCCATGGTGCAGACAGAAAAGGTGGCTCAGCCCAAGACCACCGCCAGCGCATCCCCGAGCCTGAAGAGCAGGGAGCAGATCCCCGCCCCAACCGGTGCCCCAGCCACCCTCCTGGGCAGCGACCTGGATGGACCCGTCCGGGCCAAGGGCGCTGCCTCCATGCCCTTCGCCCACGAGGACTTGGGTATCGCCGTGGGGGACTTCCCTGCCAGCCAGCACGCTCCCCGAGCCGCGAGGCGCGTCCCGCCCTTCAACTACATGCCCAGCCCCATGGCAGCTGCCTTGGCCACCATGGACTCCACCATGGAGAAGTCCCTGAGCCCTCCCCACGCCGGTTCCCTGGAGTAGGCCGCGGCCAGCCTGGCGGATGTTGTGCAGATGCGCCTAGCAGACCAGCTCACCGCGGCCTCACCTCGCCAAGGCCTGGTCTCAGAAGGGAATGGGGTGCAAGTGCCCGCCCTAGAGGCGACCCCGGGGGAGCCACTACTGGAACCCCAAGGCTCACCCGGCCGGGGGAGGGAGCAGGCTCAGGAGGCGGGCTGGGGCTGTCACCACTGAGCAGGACAGGAGCCTGTAATTACTGCTCCTGCTAATTCCTTAATGAGGGTTCCGCCAGTTGGTTTCCACTCCCAGCCTCAGCTGGGGGAGCAGGGGTGTGGGCTGGAGCCCAGACTGCGCCCCTGGGGGCCTGAGGGAAAGGTAGCAGGGAGGGAAGGGGGTCGCCAGGCTACCCTGGACACCCACTCACCCTGTGGGGGAGGCTGGAGGCCAGCAGGTGTGTTAGAGGGACGGGGTTCCTCGGGGGATGCTGGGGTTGGGCTAACCCTGCTACCCTGGGACACCACTGGTGGGCAAGGCAGGCATGGGGGGGGGCGCCTGGCTCTGTGCCTCCCTCCCAGCTTCCTCTGCACGAACCACGCGGACAGCACCAGGACCACGGGACTCCAGGGCCATCAGAGCCCAGGGGCCATAGCCTCATCACACCCCAGGAGCCTGAACTCAGCAGGAGAGGGGGACCCGCGGCCCTGCCCATCTCCACGGAAGAGCACACTGCAGAGACAGCCAGCGACATCTTTCCTGCAGAATCAGGCTGGGGGAAGGGAACCTGCGGGTGGCTACCCAGCAGGGCTACCTCTGCAACCCATCCCCAGGGAGGGCGCTCCACCTGCTGTGTCCTGTGCTCCACAGCCTTGGGCCTTGGCCAGACGGCTGCAGGCAGCAGCCCAAGTGGGTGCCCCCTTCAGGCCCCACCTGTGCCCCACAGGACTCAGCGCAGGAGGAGCAGGGGTGGCCCCCAAGCTCCAGGGCACACCCCAGGTGCCACGCGCTTCCTTCTAGGCCATGGCTGCCAAGCAGGGGGCCTGGGGATCCTAGGGCAGCCGGACAGGAGATGGCCAGCAGTGGGGGTGAGGCAGCGCCCAAGGCCTCCGCACACATGGACTGCTGGGTGTCCCCAGGCCTGGGGCTCGGGGCTGCTCCCGGAGCAGTGAGGGGGAGATGCAGGCACAGCTCACTCCGCCCATCATGGGGAGATCACAGAGTGACCTTTGGACAATGGAGCTGAGGTGGGGCTGCAGGCCCTGTCCTGGGGACCGGGTCTTGCCCAGCCCCTGACCCTGGACACCAGTACCCTCCCCGGCCATTTCCAGGGCCACTCAGGATCGGCGGCCACTTGGCGGCCTTCCCTCCACCCACCCGCCTGTTCCCCACACCCTGCAGCATCCGTCTCACGTGTACACAGCACGCCGCTCCTCAGCACCCCATGTAAAGCCGCTGGCTAATGGAAGGACCACGTACAACTTTAATAAATGGAGCTGTCCAGTTGCCTCCTCTGCTGTATGGGGGGGCAGGGGCAGGCCTCCCATGCTGGCCACGAGCAGGGAGGCCAGGAGTCCCCGCTGGCATGGGAAGACGGTCCCACTGGGGCGTCTCTGTCTGTCTGCATCCTTGGCTGTGGCCCAGGCTCTGTCAGGCCTGACAGTGCCCGGTGGGCTGGGGGGTCTCTGCCCTGGCTGAGCAGCTATGGCTGGGGTCTCTGAGGATCAGGCAGTGGAAGAGAAACTCCTGTGGCCCTGGGGCTCAGCCTTGCCCCCAGGGATGCAGGGAGCTGGGGGCCGGCAGGGCCTGTATCCCAGGGAGGGTGTCCAGGGCCTGACCCATGGCCACTCCACTGTCCACTGCATCAGCCTCTCCTGTGGCAATGAAGGGGTGGCTCTTGCCCAGGAGTGCAGCATGAGGTCCGCGGAGTCCCCTCTTGGCCTGGGAGTGGTGCGCCAGGCCAGCGCTGGGCAAGGGAGCACACAGTGGCCCCATGAGAAGGGCAGAGTCTGCTGGGGGGAGGTGGTCCTGGGTGCCCACACAGGGTCCAGCCGGTGCTAGGGGTGGGGAAGGGCCCAGGTCAGCTGGAGGAGGTGGTGGCCAAGGCGCCGGGCAGCACTGCACGTGTCACATGTCCGATGCCCAGCTCCAGCTCTGCACCGGCTCACTGCAGGCCCTGGCACTGCTGCCTCAGCCCCTCACATGCCCGCTGCAGCTGCACATTGGCGGCCATGTAGGCCCAGCTCTGCTGGTACAGCCGCTCTCGCTGGGCTTCAGGGTCCTCACTCCTCCTGGGGTCTCCTGGGGGGTCTGGGACAGCATGAGGGAGCATCAGTCACGTGGGAGCCCCCAAGACCAGAGCCACCCAGCAGGAGGGAGCCCAGCCTGAGGACATGGGTGCCTGCAGACCCCACCTCTGCACAGCACAAGTCCACCCCGGTGGCCTGGGTACCCCACAGTCACTCTCGGGGGCCCACAATTGACCTAGCACCTTACACGCCTGCGGGAGCATGCCAGTCTCAATAGCGGGGTCCCTGCCGCCCACACGGAGTTCTGGGTTCCCAGGTCCCCGCTGCGCCCCTCTCTCACATTGTTCTAGAAATGCTCTCCTCGGCAATGATGGAAATAGCAGGGCTACACCAGGGCTGCGGTTCTCCCTGGCCGCAGCAGGGAGCGGATCTGATGCTGAGCGGCCCGGATCGCAGGCATCGGCTTCACCCACCACGCCACAGCCCTGGCCCCTCTCGAAGCACTGTCCCCAAGGAGGGCCAGGGCCAAGGGTGGCCCTGAGAGATGGACAGGGCCCGCTGTCGGGGGGAGCCTGTCCTAGGCACCCACACAGCCCAGTTGGTACTCGGGCCTGGGAGAAGGGGTCAAGGTCAGCCTGAGGAGGCGGAATGCAATTTGGTTTTTTGCCAAATGGGCTGTGGCACTTCCTAGACAGATGCACCCGGAGGGAGACTGCGTGGGGGTTGTGGGGGAGTGTGGCCGTGACCCTCAGAGGCAAAGATGGGACAGCAGTGTGCCAACACACATGGTCCACAACCCCCCCCACACGTGGTCCAGGACCCCCACACACATGGTCCACGACCACACACATGTGGTCCACGATTCACACACACACACACGGCCCATGACCCCACAAAACACACATATAGTCCACGACTTCCCCCACACCGTGATCCACGACCTCCCAAGCAGTCCAAGACTGAGCAGCAGGAAGGGGGGCAGCATGGCCCCACCTGGTCAGCGAACACGTTTTGCTAAAATGAGGGAGCGGTCCACTCCTGTGGCACTACAGCTGCCAGCTCCTCCCTGGCCATGGCCGGGAACCTGGCCTAGAACCCCGGCTGGACGCCTGCTCTCTACAGGTGACTCAGACAGACAAAAGGCAGCCAGGTGCCCTGTCCCACAGAACCTCTGGCTGATGGCGCGGCCTGCAGTGATGCCAGGAAGCCATGGTTCACACAGAGCCCAGCACAGAATGTGGTAGTCTGGCTGGGGAGAGGGAGGGGACAGGAGGGGAGAGAGAGAGAGAGAGAGAGGAGAGAGAGAGAGAGAGAGATCCACAATCTGTGGTTCACTCCCCAAATGGCTACAACAGCCAGAGCTGGGCCAGGCCAAGCCAGGTGCTCCCTCCAGGTCCCACATAGGCGCAGGGCCCCAGTACAACTTAATTCTAAAAAGTAGGCTCCCAGGGCCAGCACTGTGTGCAGCAGTAAAGCTGCTGCCCGCAACTCTGGCATCCCATAGGGGTGCCAGTTCGAGTCCTGGCTGCTCTACTTCTGATCCAGCTCTTGCTGTGCCCTGGGAGAGGGAGTGGAGGATGCCCCAAGTGCTGTGCCCCGCACTCTGCGTGGAGACCCGGATGTAGCTCCTGGCTCCTGGTCAGCCTAGCTCTGGCTGCTGCAGGCCATTTGGGAAGTGAACCAATGAACGGATCTCTCTCTCTTTGTCTCTAATGTCTTTTTCGAAAAAGAAAAAGAACAGTAGCTTTCCATAGAGTCCTCAGGCCTCGGCCCACAGGTGCATCTGGGGAGGGTGAGGGCAGCGCTCTCAGTCTGTCTGGGCCCAGGGTTCAGTACAGCTGAACACCTCGCAGAGACCAGAGTCCACCCTGATCCTGCATGTGGAACCCTGTCCTCGCGCACCCCACTTTCTCATCTCTGCCCCAGGCTGGGTCAGAGACCCCTGCGACCCGCACCACAGCCCCTGTCCAGCAGCAGCTCCCCTCCGTTAATAGCGCCAACTCCTTCCTTGGCCCAGGCCGAGCACGGGACCCAAAGTCCTGCCCCAGCCCCCACTCCTGGGGCCTCGGGTCCACCCCCTGCCCAGCCCCGGCCCAAGCCCCCTACCTTCCGGGGCCAGTGTGGTGAAGACAGGGTCTTGGGCCGGCACCCCACGCACATCCTCCAGGATCTGCTCCACCGTGGGCAGCACCACAGGCTTCTTGGCCTTGGAGCGCATGCCTGCAGGTGGCAGATGAAGCCATCACAAGGCACGTCCCCGTCGCAACCACTGCCCAGTGAGGCTGTGCGCACCTGGGGAGCCTGCCCTGCCCTGACCGCAAGGGGTCACGGGAAGCCAGGCTGTGACCCCGCCCTGACCTCCTGGTGCCAGCGAATCACAACAGCCAGCCCATGACTCACAGGGACCACAAAGTATTATAATAAATGAAGTGATATAGGAAAACATAATAGGTCAATTACACGCAAAAGATAATAAAAAATACAAGAGTTGTCAAGATTCCCCAAAAAGCCATCCAAATAGGTGAAAAATGCAAAAAGACAATCACATGATTGTTTAGATTTCATGTTGAAAACACTTAATAAAACTCAGCTTCTAATGAAAAAAAACCTTACTATCAGTGAAAACAAGCAGAAAGTAACTTCTTCAGTCTGATCAAGATTAAAAGAAACCTACAAAAACCAACACAACTAATACAGAACCATTGAAAGCTTTTCCCTGGATTAAGCCTAAACCCAGATGCCACCCACTGTTTCTTTCAACTTTCTATTATAAGGGTAATCAGGGAAATAAAAAGGCAAAAAAAATGTGTGAAGTTCAATTATAAGGAATGAAATTGTATATATATATATACACACACACACACACACACAAAGAATTATATAGAATGACACTTTAAGTACCTAGGTAATTCATAAAATCTAATAATAAATACAACTGATACATAAATTAACAATATTACTGGAAAGATTAATGCATAAAATCCACTAATTACTAAGTACCAGCTAAAACAAACAGAAAGTAATATTAAAGGGCAAGAGGCAGACTAGAAAAAATATCTAGGAGAGATGAAAAAAAGGATTGAATTTGTAATATCTGTAAACATTTTAATATTAAAAACCCCACAGAGAAATGAGTCAGCAATATGAAGAAAACAAAAAAGACCAAAGCCAATAAACAGCCAATACTCTTTAACTCACCTAAGCAGGTGGCTGCAGCCTCCAGGTGGGATTCTCCCAGGAAGACCTGTGGGGAGGCAGGAGGGTCCCAGCAGGTGGCAGGATCCCGCTGGTGAAAGGGTGCAGCCCTGGAGGAGGCCCTTGGCCCCTGAACCCAGGCCTCACCTCTCTACCATCTGGAGCGGCCTGGAGCTCCCGTCCCTGCTGTAATGATGCTGATTTGTTGCATCTTCTGGGTCCTGCGTGCTGACGGCTATGTGAGCTGTCCAATCAGTCACAGTGACATCACTGCCATGTAATCACACTGGATTGTGACAACCATAGAGTTCCAAATTTCCTGGAGGAGAGAGGTCCAGGAGGGGCCTCTGCCACTGGGAGACTCTGGAGCTAGTGCGGCATCTGCTGTTCTCTGACCTTTTCTGCTGCAACACAGCCCATCTTGGACGCCCGAGAATGGTGAGTGTGCGGGGCCAGGTGTCCAGAGTGGGGGAAGGGGAAGCTGGTGGTACCTGCTGGCAGGATGCTGGCTCCCAGAGGGCATCTCTGGAACCTTGGGCCCATCTCACTGTCAGCACTGCACTTCCCTGGGTTCCCTGTGGTGTACAGGGTGGGGTCTGGACTGGCACCCAGGACCCAGGCACCCTGCCCCTTCCCTGTTAGCAGAGAAGTCTGGGCCCAGAGCCATCTGTGGGGAGCTGAGTGGCAGCAGCCCCGCATCTCCCCGATTATGCAGTGTGGGACAGAGTGGTCACCAGGGAGCAGCAGTGCTGTGTGTATGGGGTTCATGCACATGAAGGAGTTGTCGTCTATGGGGTCCTCAGTTCTCCTTTCTTCCCATGTGGGAAACAGGGTCTCAGTTCCAGGACCTGGCCTCTTCTGAGTAGCTTTCTAGGAAATACCTCAGTAGTTCTAGTATGTGCAATTATTAACTAGAAACAGTGTAGACTGCCTAACGATTTCTAAAATTTACAAGGAGTTTGAACTGTTTAAATTTATTAAGCAGTTTCTATGTGAGACTGTCAAGAAAACCTTGAGAAAAGTTCTACTTTATTACACACAATCCATTTTTAGAGATCATATAAATAGATGTTTTTGCACTGATATTGGGTAATAATGACAGATTCCCATGCGACTTTTTGTAAAGGAATTTAGGACACATATTAGTTTCTCATTTGATGTCTTCATTTTTAAACATTGTTTATAGCCATTCACTATATTCCCACAAAACTGGGGTCTTTTTGCATTTTACTTGTTAAACTTTTGTTTGGTTAAGTATTAAGACTTTTTTTTGCTGTAATGTGTATTTAAAATGTTATCTCAAAAACTAAAGAAAAATACAAGGAAGAAGAGTGGGAGAGAGAGAAGAAGGATATATCATTATGCTTTTAGAATTGTGTATACAAATGATATTGCATCTGTTTAAAAAAACCCACCAATTTGATAAATATTTAAATATACAATTAGACAAACATTTAAAACAAAATGAGACATTGTGGATACCTTCATTTTGATTATCATTCTTATCTAGGAGATCGGAAAGAAATCCTATTTTCTCATGTTAAAATATCCTAATATATTAGAGTGATTACAGTTCTGGCTCCTGGCTTCAGCATGGCCCAGTCCTGGCCATCGTGGCCATTTGGAGAGTGGACCATCAGATGGAAGAGCTCTCTCCCTCACTGTCTGTATAACTGACTTTAAAGTATATAAATAGTTTTAAAAATTTTCCTTTACTTCATTCTAAAAGTGTTTCTGTTTACATGTATGCATTATATGTGCATCACAGGACATTTGGAAAACTTAATATAGGCTATGGGAAGAGATCAACTCTCCTTCTATATTCAGTCATGTAATATTTACACACAGATACATGCATATACGTGTATACTTTTACAAACAAAACCATGACCAAACTAGACATGCTATTTTGTAGTCTACTTTTCCTACTCAACAATGTGTAATTTTCCCTTCGTGTTGTTAACTATTCTTTTTTTTTTAACTTTTATTTAATGAATATAAATTTTCAAAGTACGACTTATGGATTACAATGGCTTCCCCACCATACCATCCCTCCCACCAACAACCCTCCCCTTTCCCACTCTCTCTCCCCTTCCATTCACATCAAGATTCATTTTCGATTCTCTTAATATACAGAAGACCAGCTTAGTATACATTAAGTAAGGATTTCAACAGTTTGCTCCCACACAGAAACATAAAGTGAAAAATAATAGATGATTTTTTTAAATGATGATAAAATCAGATCAGACCTATTGCCATGTTTAATCCCAGTGAGAGTCAAGTTGGGAATTGATCATTTCTTCTTTTTTTGTTTTTTTTTTTTTTTTACAGAAGATCAGTTTAGTATGTATTAAGTAAAGATTTCAACAGTTTGCACCCCCATAGAAACACAAAGTGATATATATTGTTTGAGCCGGCACCATGGCTCACTAGGCTAATCCTCCGCCTAGCGGCGCCAGCACACCGGGTTCTAGTCCCAGCTGGGGTGCCGGATTCTGTCCCGGTTGCCCCTCTTCCAGGCCAGCCCTCTGCTGTGGCCAGGGAGTGCAGTGGAGGATGGCCCAGGTGCTTGGGCCCTGCACCCCATGGGAGACCAGGAAAAGCACCTGGCTCCTGGCTCCTGCCATCGGATCAGCGTGGTGCGCCGGCCCCAGTGCGCCGGCCGCGGCGGCCATTGGAGGGTGAACCAACGGCAAAGGAAGACCTTTCTCTCTGTCTCTCTCTCTCACTGTCCACTCTGTCTGTCAAAAAAAAAAAAATAAAAAAAAACAAAAATAAAAAAAAGAAATATATTGTTTGAGTACTCGTTATAGCATTAAATCTCAATGCACAGCACATTAAGGACAGAGATCCTACATGAGGAGTAAGTGCACAGTGACTCCTGTTGTTGACTTTACCAATTGACACTCCTGTCTATGGCATCAGTAGTCTCCCTATGCTCCAGTCATGAGTTTCCAAGGCTATGGAAGCCCTCTGAGTTCTCTGACTCTTATCTTGTTTAGACAAGGTCATAGTCAAAGTGGAGGTTCTCTCCTCCCTTCAGAGAAAGGTACCTCCTTCTTTGAAGACCTGTTCTTTCCACTGGGATCTCACTCACAGAGATCTTTTGCCAGAGTGTCTTGGCTTTCCATGCCTGAAATACTCTCATGGGCTTTTCAGCCAGATCCGAATGCCTTTAGGGCTGATTCTGAGGCCAGAGTGCTATTTAGGACATCTGCCGTTCTATGAGTCTGCTGAGTATCTCGCTTCCCATGTTGGATCACTCTCCCCTTTATTTATTCTGTCGGTTAGTGTTAGCAGGTACTAAACTTGTTTATGTGCTCCCTTTGACTCTTAGTCCTTTCATTATGATCAATTGTGAACTGAAATTGATCACTTGGAATAGTGAGATGGCATTGGTACATGCCACCTTGATGGGATTGAATTGGAATCCCCTGGTATGTTTCTAACTCTACCATTTGGGGCAAGTCAGCTTGAGCATGTCCCAAATTATACATCTCTTCACTCTCTTATCCCACTCATGTTTAACAGGGATCACATTTCAGTTAATTTTCAACACTTAAGAATAACTGTGTATTAATTTCAAAATTAAACCAGTCATATTAAGTAGAACATACAAAAAAACTACTAAGAGGGATAATGTATTAAGTTGTTCATTAACAATCAGGGCTATGCTGATCAAGTCACCGTTTCCCATAGTGTCCATTTCACTTCAACAGGTTTCCTTTTTGGTATTCAGTCAGTTGTCACCGATCAGGGAGAACATATGGTATTTGTCCCTTTGGGACTGGCTTATTTCACTCAGCATGATGTGTTCCAGATTCCTCCATTTGTTGCAAATGACTGGATTTCGTTGTTTCTTACTGCGGTATAGTATAAAGAGTACATATCCCATAATTTCTTTATCCAGTCTACCGTTGATGGGCATTTAGGTTGGTTCCAGGTCTTAGCTATTGTGAATTGAGCTGCAATAAACTTAGGCTGCAGACCGCTTTTTTGTTTGCCAATTTAAATTCCTTTGGGTAAATTCCAAGGAGTGGGATGGCTGGGTCGAACGGTAGGGTTATCTTCAGGTTTCTGAGGCATCTCCAGACTGACTTCCATAGTGGCTTGACCAGTTTGCATTCCCACCAACAGTGGGTTAGTGTCCCTTTTTCCCCACATCCTCTCCAGCATCTGTTGTTGGTAGATTTCTGCATGTGAGCCATTCTAACCGGGGTGAGGTGAAACCTCATTGTGGTTTTGATTTGCATTTCCCTGATTGCTAATGACCTTGAACTTTTTTTCATGTGCCTGTTGGCCATTTGGATTTCCTCTTTTGAAAAATGTCTCTTGAGGTCCTTGGCCCATCTCTTAAGTGGGTTGTTGGTTTTGTTTTTGTGGAGTTTCTTGATCTTTGTAGATTCTGGTTATTAACCCTTTATCTGTTGCATAGTTTGCAAATATTTTTCCCATTCTGTCGGTTGTCTCTTCACTCTCCTGACTGTTTCTTTTGAAGTACAGAAACTTCTCAATTTGATGCAATCCCAATAGTTGATTTTGGCTTTGACTGCCTGTGCCTCCCGGGTCTTTTCCAGAAATTCTTTGCCTGTGCCAATATCTTGAAGGGTTTCTCCAATGTTCTCTAGTAACTTGATGGTGTCAGGTCGTAGATTTAGGTCATAAATCCATGTTGAGTGGATTTTTGTGTAAGGTGTAAGGTAGGGGTCTTGCTTCATGATTCTGCACGTGGAAATCCAATTCTCCCAGCACCATTTATTGAATAGATTGTCCTTGCTCCAGGAATTAGTTTTAGATTCTTGATCAAATATAAGTTGGCTGTAGATGTTTGGGTTGATTTCTGGTGTTTCTATTCTGTTCCATTGGTCTATCCATCTGTTTCTGTACCAGTACCATGCTGTTTTGATTACAACTGCCCTGTAGTATGTCCTGAAATCTGGTATGTGATGCCTCCGGCTTTGTTTTTGTTGTACAAGATTGCTTTAGCTATTCGAGGTCTCTTGTGCCTCCATATAAATTTCAGCACCATTTTTTCCAGATCTGAGAAGAAGGTCTTCGGTATCTTGATTGGTATTGCATTGAATCTATAAATTGCTTTTGGGAGAATGGACATTTTGATGATATTGATTCTTCCAATCCATGAGCATGGAAGATTTTTCCATTTCTTGGTATCCTCTTATTTCTTTCTTTAAGGTTTGTAATTTTCATCGTAGAGATCTTTAACGTCCTTGGTTAAGTT